ATGTTAAAACTGTTATCTTGCGGGTTCAAGTGAAAATTTGAAAAGGGCAAAATTTGATTTTAATGTTGTAACATATTAGGTAAAAGTCTCACTATGAATGCTTTAAAGCATTCGATTCATCAATTCGAAGAAAGAATTTTATGAACAATCAAAGAACTTGTAGTATTATGTTGACCATATACAGCCGGTCATAGAAAGGTTGCAACACTTTTATTTCAATGGAATTCGAAACTCAGCCTTTCTCGAGCGGTTGAACGATTAGATTCATAGCAAGAACCAATCTCTTAGTGAGCAAGCTACCGAAACCCATCAAAAAAAAAGTTTTTACAACCTTTGTGACCGTGTATACTCATCTTTACGCCATGGCGCGAAATGTAATAATCACATCGTTAGATTTCATTATTTTTTTAATTAGTGTATTTTATACTTTTATTTTTTCTTTATTCTGTAATCTAGATACAATAATAAGATATCAAAATACAATTTTCTCTTTCGATGTCGTAGTATAACTGATATTGATTATAATTTTCACGGAAATGCAACTAGCATTCGATATCTTCTGCGTCAGTAAATTTCGCTTGACATTATCACAACAGTATAATAAATCTTGCTTCTAATTTAATCGAATATATTAATACTTAATGAACACGATATGATAAGATTTGCAAATTTATGTTGTCAAGCAGATTTAAATCGCGGATCTGTTAAAGTAATTAAATAATTGCGACGTAAACGAATGATTCCTACATTACGCACATTGATTGTCAAGATTTGATTTTCTGAACTATAATAAATTGAGTTAAGGCCAATAAGAACTTGCGAACGCAGATGTTCGTGCGATACCGCAATTATTAAACATCTGCGTTTGCAAGTTCATATGGTGACCTTATTTTAATTCGTTATACTTATTACTGATATTATTATTATTAATTTTCTGTATAAATGAACGAATTATTTTGTTTTATTTATCTATCATTTTAATTTCTTATAGCACCAACATAAAACAACTACATATTATAAATACAATATATGATGCAATAAATGAATGTGCATACCTCATATTACATGAATTTCGCAATATATAATGAGTAGGTAATAGCTCATGAAATATAATTTGCATAGTTTACAATCAGAGTTGGATGTTAATATTTTTTTAAACTAAACTAAGAAAGTTAACGACTTATAAAATTAAATTAATTATAAAAAATTGCATAAATGGAAAAAACTAACTCATTTAAATTTACGTTAAGATCGAATTAACTTCAGTTAAATAAAATTAATTTTATTAATTTCATTTAGCTTGAATTAGCTTTGAAATGTATTATTATTAAATCAGGATTTCTTAATTTTTCTTAAAATCAAATTACTTTAAATAATGAAACAATATAAGCTTTAAATAACGAAATAATTACAATATAAGTCATCAGATAAATTTAATATTTTATTTATAAATTTTGAAATGAAGTTGGTTTTTACTAATAAGTACCGACTTTTATATCTACCTAAGGTTGCATACGAAAGCAATGCTATTACGTAATTCTCTTTTTATTGCTAGACGTAAAACAAAGATAGAATAACGCAAAAGCGCTGATAATTAAAAGTACTTTCCTAAAAGTAGACTTTAAAATTTGTCAATTTCTTATACGTCATCTTTGAGCTATGAACATCATGTTCATCACATAATCATTGAGCTCTTTTTCTCAACTTCTCTCTTTAACATTTAAGATTATATAGAAAAAAAAGATATTATCGTTTAGAAAGACAAAAAAATTATTTTTTAATTTAAAAAGAAAAAGTTAATAAATTAAAGTTCAAAAGTAACTAGATTTAATTAAAAATTAATTTATTTAAAATTAACTAAATTAAATTAAAAGTTAACTTTTTGACTTCTTATTTAACTTATTAACTAGTCGCTACTCAAGCCTATTACAGTATATTATAAAAAATTATGCAAGCGTAATCTACATACATCGCAATTCATATATGCCAAGTTTTAATTTTATCTTCTTAAGACACGGATCTTTGTTAAGACACAGAACTGTAAAAATTTTTTTAAAAACGATCAAAAGTAAAGTATAAATGCTTTAAAATGCTTTTTTTTATCTTTAAAATACTTTTTTATCTTTTGTCCGCAACAAAAGGTTTTCACCGTTTTTTTATGTTACGATGATCCGAAAATTGTACAGTTTTGCGCGTTACGAAAATGTTTCCTATTTTTTTGTTAAATAATATAGATATATATATATATATATAT